CGCTGACCACCTGCCCCACGCCCCCATCCTGCCCGGGCCAGCGGCGCGCGCCGCACAGCTTCCCCCTGGATGAATGTATATTTTATAAGGACTGACGCAGATCACGGCATCTGGAAATACTGAAAAAAAAAAAAAAAAAAAGGAACCTTAGGGCGTTTATTTTTCTTTGTACAAACCAACGTGGTTTTTTTTCCAAGGAAAAGCGGGTCATTGCAAAGGGCTGGGTATCTTTTCTTTCCGGTTTCCTTTCATTTCGAAGCAATACCAGGTTCTTCAGTGAGACGGTCTTTGTGCAGAATCATGCCATTCGAACCCACGCTACTGGTCCACCCTCAACACTCGCGAGGTTTTTTTATAACTATAAATACGATATATATAGGAACTAATATAGTAATGCACCGTGTAATGAAGCCTAGTTCAGTATCGGTCCATGGCTTTTAACTCTCTTTAACACTATAGATAAGGATTGTGTTACAGTCGCTATCGAGGGCCGGGAAAGCCGCGCCGCGCCTTCCCACCGGGCGCAGCTGTGGGCGCCGGGAGCGGGCGGCCGGCCCTTTCCCGGCCCTCCGTGTGCCCAGTCAGTACTCGTACACCTCGTACACCTCCTGCAGCTCCGCTCCTCCCTCCCCGTCCTCTCGTTCTGGTTCTGAATGTCGGGGCACCCCCTGCAGCTGGGGACAACGCGTGCTCTCTGCTTTCCTGGTCTCTTTTTATCGAGGTACAGTAGCTTTGTCTATCAACCGAGAACTATACTTGTGGTGTTTCTTTTATTGAACTTAACAGTCTCTTTAGTAAATACAGGTAGGTGAATAATTGTTTCAAAAAAAAAAAAAAAAAGCAAAAAAAAAAAGCTCTGCAAAGGCGAGGTTATGTTCTAGAAATACATTTCTTGACAACTTATCATGTATAACAAATCTCTTCTTTTTTTTCTTGTGTTCTTCCAAGCTTCTGGTTGTTTGTTAATTTTTTTTTAAAAAAAAAGAGGAAACGTGTCTAAAGTACATCAGTGTTAACTCCCTGTCACAGGGAAGAAGGAAATACTTTAATAGTTTAAAAAAATGCTGAAAGCTCTGCAAAAGACTGAATGTAAAAATAAAAAAGTGTACATAGTTGTAAAAAAACAAAAAAAAAACAAAGGAGTTTTTAAACATGTTTATTTTCTATGCACTTTTTTTTATTTAAGTGATAGTTTAATTAATAAACATGTCAAGTTTATTGCTGCAGAGGGTTGCTCTGGATTTCTTCTCGAGGGTTGAGACCTGCTTTTCCCGGGTCTCCGCTTCTCCTCCTGCAAACGCCCGGGGGGCTGGCAGCCCCCAGCTGGCGCCACTGTGGTGGGGGTTCGGTGGGGAGGTGCTGGGCTCGCTGCGGCCGGTGTGCACGGGTCACCTTGGGGAGCCGTGGCTTTTCCAGCTGGGTCGCTGCCTGCGGGCGGTGGGGCCCAGCACCGGGCTGGGATAGGATGTGGACGGGTGAAGCGGTGCCGGCGGTGTGAACATTAACCGGGCGGGGGCCGCCCGCCTGCGCCCTGCAGCCGGGCCGAGGGGCTCTGGGCGCACAGGGCACCATGGCCACAGCCAACGACAGGGCCGTCCTGCAGACCATCTTCAACCCCAGCACCCCTTTTGGGGATATCCCGGGGCTGGACGAGGAGGAGGAGGAGGACGCCCAGGAGGAAGGTGAGGTGCCGCTGCTCCCCCCGGGGTGTCCTGGTGCTGGCCACTTCCCTGGCCAAGGGCTCCCCTCTGCGCCACCACAGGGGCCACCTTCGCGCCAGAGCTGCTGGAGCAGGCGCGGGACCTGGAGCTGCAGGGGGTTTCTGCCGCCGAGTCGGGAGACGTGAACACAGCCCTGGAGAGGTTCGGGGAGGCCATCCGCCTGCTGCCCGAGCGCGCCTCAGGCTACAACAACCGGGCCCAGGCGCTGCGCC